GTGATCAGTATTCAAAATCATACTGATATAAAAGACTATTACTGATTTTCGAAAAAATAATTTTTTTTTCGAAAACACCTGTGGTACCCCTCAGGGTTTTGGAGGACCCGAAATTGTTTTTCTTTTTGAAGTGAAGTTACCATTGCCGTTCTATTCGAGATGAACTTGGGAACACTCTAAATTGAAAAGTTTTCAAAAATAAACACTTTTGAAAAATTTTTAGGGTCACTCTCTTGAAGGGTCTTCACCCAGCTATCAACAATGTAAGTCTCATATCGGGTCAAAGGTAAAACTTTTTTTTCGATATTTTTTTACCATTTTGTAGAGAATTAAAAGTTACACAACATATCACAAATTCAGATTGGGTTTTTTTAATTTGGAGAAATGGCACGGAACATATGTGCCAAAACCGACCTCAAAAACTCATAAAATATGAGGGTTTCTACGAATGTTAGCCTATATAATCTCAGTAAAGGGATGTTATTGAAAGTTTCAAATAGTACGTTTTGTTCAGTTTTTCATGCTCTATCTTTTAGTATATTGCATGAAAAGATTCTCCAATTTATAAAAAAAATTTTGTAGTGAAAATATATAACATAATTTTTGACTAAATTCTAAGTTATAGATTGGTAATGATAAAAAGTCGATCTAGGCTAACTTTTTTATAATACATCCAAATGAGCTAAAAATTTGGATTTGTTGGTTTCAAAACATGATCTTTCAAATGCACATGCTAAATCATAAAAGTATTTTTTGTCTTGTGCCTCGGTTTCTCGGTGCTGTCATGGACGCTCTCTTAATTATTTTGATGATTTAAAAGTCAAATTGACAATGTTTCATAAATAAATTATTTTAAAATGTATTTATTTTATTCTTGAAAACCATTTTTCTTCATTTAAATAAACGGAACATTTCATGAACGGTGTGTTTAAAAAATTATTAATAGTCAAACAAATGAACTTATTTGCAATTTTTCTTCGAAGAAAAACCATTAAAATTAGTTTTGAACTATTTATTTTTTCAGAAAAATATTTGTTTGAAGAGATAAATTATTTCGACGAGATTTTTATCTGAAACTTTCCTTTTAGCACTTTCATTTAATCAACCAAAGTTTTGTCAAACAGCAGACTGGAATCCTTATGGAATTACTTTTGCTAATAAAACAACACTTGGGAGCGATTCTCATGCCCTTTTTATAGATATAAACAACACAATTTATACAGTTAGCCGAGAGAACAAACAAATCTTAATGTGGATTAACAATAGTATCAATCCAAATAAAATGATTGCTGCCAATTTCTCTGATATAAAGTCCATCTTCGTTACAAATAATGGTGATATTTATTATGATAATGTTGATATGTATCATGATAAAGGTATCATTTTTACTGCAATTCGTTTCGAAAATGGTCGAGTTGATAAATGGATATCAAATACAAATACTTCTGTTAATGTCATGAATGTTGATTCGCCATGCTACGGTCTCTTTATCGACATTAATGATACTTTATATTGTTCAATGTTTGATCGTCATAAAATTGCGAAAATATGGTTAAATGATAGTAAAATGATATCAACAATTGTAGCGGGAATAGGTTTTCGTGGTTCTGCTTCAAATGAACTTTATGGTCCTATAGGAATCTTTGTTGATTTAAACTTTGATTTATATGTGGCAGATTCTTACAATAATCGGATTCAACTATTTAAGCATGGAGAATCAAATGGAATAACAATAATTGGAGAAGGATCATCGAATAACATTATTTCACTCAGTCGTCCATCTGGAATTGTATTAGATGCTGATAAATATCTTTTTATTGTCGATCGAGGAAATCATCGTATAATTAGGGCAGGATCAAATGATATTCGATGTATAATTGGATGCAATGGAGAAGGATCACAATCCCATCAATTATCAAATCCAACAAGTCTTAGTTTCGATAGTTATGGAAACATATTTATTCTTGATAGCAACAATCATCGCATTCAAAAATTTGATTACTTATCGAATTCCTGTGGTAAGTTCAAAATAATTGAATAAAAGAGAAATTCATGTCAAACCCGTATTTTCCGTCTAAAGTAAGATTAACGAAAATCTCCTTCTTCGTCTTCTTTGTTTTGTTAAATGAAAATTATATTTGAGGTTTTCAAATTGAATGAATTTTTTTAACTTTAAAATCATTTGAAATGTCGATGAAGAAAATCAAATGAATTTCTGTCGAAGAAATAAATAATTTTAATCCTAAAAATAAATCTGTTTTGCTTAGAATTGTCACCGAAATGAAGAGATACATTTATTCATTCGTTGCATTCAATGAAGATTTATAAACAATTTCATCTCTTCAAAAATATTTTAAATCTATTTTATTTCCTCATAAAAGAGAATTTGCTAAGATATTTCTATCAATTTTTCATCAGGCAAAAGATTTTGTTTCAAATTCTGATTGATTAGAATTGTTCCCTCGACTGAAAGGAGCGTGACACGAAAAAAACGAAAATGCGTTTGTCTGTGTGTGCCAGGGTAAAAAGAACATAGAAAATCAATTTTTCGAAAAAGACATTTCTAGAGATATTTCGATGCGGTGAGTTCGAATCTGAGGACTATTGGGTGACCGTGTGGAGGGGTGGGTGGATGGGTGTGGGTGAGAGGTCAAAAGAACATTAAAAATCAATTTTTCACGGTTTTCATTTTTTTGTAGTATTTTTGAAGAAGGCATTTCTACGAGAAAGAGCTGAGCGAGTCCTCGGACGAGCGTTACTTGTTGACCAGTGAGAAATCGAGAATGATAAAAATGACCGATCGGATATCAAGGATGATAAAAATGACCATTGAGAATTGGAGAGTACCAAAACTGTCGAATTAAGTACTAAGAGTTTGGATTCGAGGTGTCAGTGTAGGTGTGAATGTGGTTGAGTGTAAGTGTGGGTGTGGAAATATCGATTAGGACTTAGAATAGTGAAATACTCACACCCACACCCACACCCACACCGTTACTTGTTATTTTATTCAAAGATTATTTTAGATAAAATCAAATCTCCTTATTTTTTACTCTTTCGCGATGTTCATCGTTTTCTCATCGAAAATATTGAAGACTTTTTAAATGATTTCTAAGAAGAAAAATGGTTAATAAATGTTTCTTCAGTTATGTGAGAAAAACAAATCCAAAGGCTTTAGAATAAATTCGAAAACATCAAAAACATTTGTGAATCAATTCGATTAAAAAAACAATTTTTATCGTTGACATTAATTGAGTAAAAATCCTTTCTGTGTGATATTCGACTAGAATTTGTATTCTTTGAATCTGATTAAACCTTTTCTTCCCGTGCATTTGTATTTACCATGTGATGAACGAAAATTAGTTTGACTTATTTTTTGAAACAACTCTCCATGTAATCGAGAAAACTTTGTGAAATGCATCTCAAAGTGAAAATCAATACCCTTTTTCTGGTGTTTTATTGTTAATGAGAGTTCTTTTACTGATAGTTTTTTCAAATAATAATTTCTAAATATAATTTTTGTTGAGTATTTAGAATCATTTAATATTCACAGATCAAATACATTGAAAAAAGATCATTCTGTCGCGATCCAGATGTTGTAATTGTGCGAAGTCATAAAGAGAATAAACAATTTCGCCCATAAAAAGTCTCATAATGAGATATTTTATTCTATTAATTGATTATAATTTTCAGCTATGTGATGATCAAAGCCCGTTTTCTTCTTAAAAGATAATCTATCACTGAACAAGAAATAATAAAGAGTTCCATTGCTTGATCTGAAATAGAAACAAATATTGTATTTATTGAGAAAATTATGTTTTTCTTCTCTTTGAAAAATTCAATTCTCATTCTCTTATCATCATTAGAAAGTTACTAAAAATAAATAAATCATAACGACATTTCTTCATATTAATTCTCTTAGAAATGAGTTTTTATGCATTTTGAACATAAGTGACTTTCAGAAACTTGATTTTTGTTCAAACACTCCTTCTTTTTTATAGATTATAGATATCTTAATGGCTTTGGATGGATTGATTAATCTTTAAACTATATTCCATCGTGTAGATTGTGGATCAGAATACTTCTCTGTACTATGCTGGTCGACGAACTAATCTGTTGATAGTCAATTTATTAGTTCCGAGAATATTCTTTGTACATCGATTCGCAATCTTAGACTTCTATTATAATACTGAATGTATGTGACACATATGAAGTCAATGTTTAATTCAAATAACCAACCTCTTGATAAAGAATTAATAGAAATCATTTGTTACCTGTAATATTAATCATTTATCGCTTACAGGTTCATTTCTAGTTTATTTAAATCGAAAGAATCTTTGCAATAGAAATATTCAACTCACAAAAAATTGCTCATGTCTTGTGAAGCTCTACTTTTCTCGTTAATCACCATGCTATGATAGTTTTTGTCCTATTTTCTTTCTTGCGGCGTACAATAGATAGATGACTAACTGGATTTTCATACTAATTATAATAATTACATGCTTTCAGTATATATGAGATTATTGACCAAATCTAACTGTAGTGAATCTGATAGAATCATTCAACAACAATCTTTGTTTGGGCAGTATGATAGAAATATTTAGTTCTCAGACTTATTGCAGTCGATAGCTATAAGTGTCAGAAGTTACTTACATTAAACAGTGGAAGATCAAGAGAAATCATTTTCAGAAAATCGAAGTATCAGTTAGTTTGACAAGTTTTAAATGTTTAGAGTATCTCTTCAAATCTATTCTGTAGAAGATTCAGTTGATTTGTAAGTATTTTCTCGAAATTTGAACTTTCCATGAACCATTCGATGATGATAAGGTTGATCGAGGTTATTTGCTCAATTTCAATATTATATAGTTATTCGAACATATTTTCTCTTGATCTTATTAGATCTGTAATACGTAGATCCTTATATTATGTTTTAATATGAGACAAAGGGAGAAAATATATCCAATAGTCTCGATTATACGTGATATTGAACAATCACATGTTACCTTTTATTTTACTAGTAAAAGCAGTAAATAAATAATTACTTATTATTTACACATAAAACAGTTACACAAGGGGCATGTATTGAAAATAAAGAGAATATTGAAAACAGTTGAAATTTATTAAATATTTTATAAATTTTGATTAATCTATTTTTGTTGAATAGATACTTCATCCATTGTTCAATCAATATATTCATCCGTATTAACAGAAAAACATCCAACATATTCTCGTACTGGTTGTGATCCTCCGAAGTACTATTATGAAGCCATACAAATAAATGTCAATGAAAGTAACTATTATAGTGTTAATATCAACAGCAGTATCAATACATATAGTCACATATACACAAAGAATTTCTATCCAGCTGCTCCATCTATAAATTTAGTTCTGAAGAATGATACTAGTTTCGATAAACACCAGTCCAACATCAGAATTTTTCTTCAGTCCACCACCACATATATAGTGGTTGTCACAACATCTAGTCCAAATGTAACAGGAACATTCTCAATTATTGTGTCTGGTTTCAATAATGTCACTTTCGAACGTCTAAGTGAGTGTCTATGATATTTATAAACATTAACGGAGAGGTGCAAAGCATAGAGTATCTACATACACTCAATTTCTATTCTGTCATCGATATTAATCTGGAAAAGTTTCCTGCTGAGTAGAGATCGTTGTTTCAACAAAGAATTCTCACATGATAAACATCCTTTTGTACAGAAATACTCGAACGACAAGAAAGACGTGAACGGAAAAATGTAGTTACCAGAACTAGATCACAGCAACTAATCGATATTTCACTCTCTGCTGAAAGCTTTTAAAATATTGAGGTTAGATGAATCTCAATATATAACAATCATGTCATCATAGATTCATAGTTATCGTTCACTACCATATCTGAGAAAAAGAAAATGCAACTAGTACTGATGGTTAGAGCTCCTCATCCGTCTGGTAGAAGGAGCTGCTATGAGTGAATTAAAACTGATCTGCATGTACTATTGCAATACTCTCTTTTAGTATTGATATCATCAGAAATAAAATAATGTTGCATAAACCATTAAGGATCGTTTGCTTCATATCATCGGGCATTCATTTAATAATTGTAATGTAATAAAAATCAGTTGTTGTAACTCTCTAGTGTATTCTTAGCTAATATGTGTCTTGAGTTGAAGTGATTAAGCATGTGAGCCCTTAATCAGACCAGCCTCCTATCTAATATTACACATAGTGATACTTATAGGAAAGAAATTAACCTTAGTTGTTATCAGACAGCAGTCAGCATTTTAAAATAGTCGGAAAACAGAAATTCGCCTTTTTTCTCTTTGGTCCTGCAATAGATGATACTTGTGAGAAAAACAAAAGATTCGTACAATAAGTATAAACTAAGTGAATGGGACATTTTTGTTTAGTGCCAGACATGATCTTTGATGTTGAGAAGAACGAAAATAGTTGAAATAGAATCGAAAGGGGTACTTTTTTCATGATTTTGATATTATGAAATATTCCACAATTGACAAGACAAATTCTTTTTGTAAACAAAATATAGATTCAACTGACTTGTATAAAAATAATCAAGAGATCATAAACAGAATTCGGGTTTCATTACTGTTTGAAAACGATTTATGAGAAGTACATCAAATGTTTACGTTAAATGACTGATCTCATTGAAGAGAAGAATACAAGTTATTTTGAACTACATATTCCTGAATATATTTTTGCGCTAAAGTCAAAGCTTGTAACAAAAAATGGTAGTTCTATTTTTCGCGCTTCTATTCCGATGAGATAAAATACTTATTTTGACTGAAATATTTTTTATTTACACTAAAGACCAATTCGTCACACTAACGAGGGAACATCCCCAACTGAAGGAAAGCTTTGGAGCTCGGACTCCGTGCAT